TCCTTCGTTACCTACAGGAAGTGCAATTGGCCTTTAGCCCGACACAGGACTAGCTAAAGTTGTATTTGTTGGAAATTCTGACTCTCGAATTTAGGACTCAATCATTACCTGTTTCGTCTCAGGTTCCCGACAAGATCGACTCTCTGTACACATGTCCCGAGTGCGCTAATCGCGTCTACTGTCGCCTATACGTTTGGATATTTACGTACTACAGTGTACCTTGGCTCATCATGGTAGATGAGAGGTGGCTAGTCATCACTAGGTTTGACAAGCACACGAGGCTAGCGGGAATTTCTCCCTTAGATGTCTATATAAGTCCAATGTTCCCATAGTTGTAAAATATCAAGTCTTCTTTACTTCATCATATTTATCCATATAATATCGTACAGAGTATATTTTCCAACAGTATTCGACCTCGCCATTCTTTCCCTGCCCTCGCGTGCTGAAAAGTGATGACTGTGGCATTGAGTTTGACCCCGATGGTGCAAATAGTGGAGGTGGTGCATTAACCAGGGGCTGTTTGCGCGGGCGTCCTGGCCCCCTCTTGAACACCTCTGGCTTTTGGTGGGACACCAGTGTGAATCCTTGGTCGTCCGTTTCTTTTGCCGCTGTTGTTAGTTGTGATGCCGCTGGTAACATTTCCTCTCTTCTTAAATTTGCCGTTCTTTCCATGAGTTCATACCTGGCCCTTTGAACGCTGGCCTTATATGACGCGAAGTTTTGACACGCCCCCTTCTGCCACGATTTATGGGCTTTGCCGCAGTTGCAGCAAAGTACCGACTTCCTCGGGCAGTCTCTGGTCTGATGAGTGCCCGCACACTCACCACATCTTTTCGCCTTGGTACACGAGGCTTGGGTATGCCCCCATTCGCTGCAGTTGAAGCACTGCTTGACTTGAGCCCGGGGTGACCAGAGCTGGGCCGTGTACAGCATTGAGTTGAAGACAATGCCGTTTCTTGTCACTTCGTGTTGAAGTACCTCTGTCGGAAGGCTCGCGATCACCGATCCTCGAGTATGATTTTTTCTTGCCATCCATTGGTGCTCTTTACCGTCGTAAAGTCACCTCACCCTGTTGATTTTTATGTCCGGAATCCGAACTTTTGTTTCCTCCGTGATTTGATTTATCAATGTGCCGTTGTTGGCATCTTTTCCTCCTCGTATTGTTGTCCCCAATGGGACTCCTAAAATCTCAACAGGATAATCCTGCTTTATAACGCTGAACTCCTTTGGTTGCGTCATCCTCAAGGCAGCGTCTCGTTGGGAGACCGACTGCACAAACACCTCAGTATCATTACTCCTGAGCTTCCTTACAGCATATGCCCCCTCGATGTGTTGTTTTGCCTTGTAGAGCAGCTCTGCCGGCTGCATGGTTTCTGCCCCTTCAACTCGTATCCTTACTGCTGCTTTGTTCGCTAGCGGTGCGACGACTGAGGCGTAGGTAGGTCGACCTCCCATCATTTGTGCCGACTGAGGAACCGCCTTGCGCGACGGCTCCTCGAGACTCTTCGTAATAGCCTTCTCTAAGGCAAGCATCCTGTCCTCCATTGGCTGTGCCGACATCTTCGATTGTAACATCTGAATGTGGGCTTTGAAAGCGTCGAGAGCCTCATCTATTTCCACCATTGGTGCCGCCGATATGTATGAACCTGCGTTCACAAGTCCGCGTCGGACCTTACTTAAATATTTAGCCACTGTCTTTAAATAATCCATGTTAACGCCTGTAGAGGTCGCGAGAGACTCTACAGCCATAATTGCGGCTGTTCCGCTGCCCATTGTTGGTTTGGGTGGTGCCGTGAAAAAATTTTCAGCCGCGAAATCCGCCCTACTGGCTCCCCAACTCGCCATGCCGAAGCGCAACGAAAAAAATTCGAGGAATTAGGTAAGAGGGATTGATTAAGATGAATACAATAATAATTGCGATGAAATAACGTTCGTGGAACGTTGTGCCGCTTTTCGAGAAAAATTATGTTTTTTTTTCTTATTATTATTATTAGTTACACCCTCAGGGCTCCAAACATGCAATGAGCAAGGCAGTGTAGGTGCTTGAACATGAAACACCTACACGTGACATGAATTCCAATCTAGTCTTGGCATTACTCAGCAAACACCCACACCTCATGTATATAGAGCTCGCTGTAGTTACTCCTATTTCTCCTTCCATAGCCAATCTATCTTACATTCCTAAGGCTGCCTCTCTACCATTTTCATACCTCGTGATTTTATTTGATTTTGTTTTTTGAATTTTGAATTTTATATTCCTGTCCAAGTCTATGACTATGTAGGACATTCAGGTCCTCTCTGCTTACAGGCCAAGGATACCTATACCAGTAGTATATCCCCTCCTATGCCTCCCATACAGCTCCCCTCAAACAGCACCACCCCTCACAAGTCCTCATTCAATCATACACTTGGAGGAGCCCTTAGCCCTTCATTATCTCCCCTCTCAAGCCAACTAAACGATGGCCATTTGCGGGTGTATGGCAGCAGGGAAAAATCACAAAAACCACTGGGTGCAGGGCTCTCTTAATACCGACATTAGGACTAAATCCGAAGACATAGTGATCCTTTTGAAGCGTTGGGAGAGGCCGGCCAGCCAGGCGCTGCGGACTTGTGGATACCCCTGGAAATTCGCCCTCTGCCTTTCTAGCCTCCTTCCAACTCCATCCCGAAGGTTTTGCTGAAATGTCAAAAAAGTCTTGACAGAGCGTAGTTGCTGTATAGTAGCTTAGCCTAGCTTCTTTTGTGCCGTCCAGGGCGCTGGGGAGTGCCGTTGACTCATCGACAATAGAAGCCCGCATACAGATGAAAAGACGGGAAGAACAAGAATGATCTCTAGAGGAACACCTATCAGTATCCATAAAAGCCTTAACAGGGCCCAAAGTAGCATAGCCATGCAGTTTAGGAGTGAGCACATCGGGTTCAATTCTTACCTGCACAGAAGACATGTTCCCGGAGTAGACAGTCCACGATGCCAATGTGGATATCCGTCCCAGAACGTCAAGCATATGATCATGGCCTGTCCCGACTGGGCTATAGGTAGAGGGGAGATACTGAGAAAGGCAGAGAATCGGTCATTCTAAGCGATGATGAATAGCCCGAAAGATATGGCTAGAATAACAAAGTGGATACAAAAGGAAGGAAGGCTAGAGCAGTTTCGACTGACGCTTGAAGTCGAAGCCATGATGAGTGACAGAGAGAGCAGTAGGGGAAAGGTGATCTCCTGTCATAAATAAGGGAGTGGACGATATCTGCACTGGATATAACAGTATTAGTGCACTTCGTGAAGGTAACACAATATCAAAGTGTAAATAAATTGAAAATCTTAGGGGGTTTTTACCATAAAGGTTTCCTCCTAAATAAATATTAGAGTTCGTAGCCACCTGCATGGGCCTTGAGGCGTCAAATCGGGCTAAATGAAATCAATTTCAAATAGAAGCCCTCCTAGCTAATGAGCCGAGATCTTGGTCTTGGCGCCCACAAAAAATCCAAAGTTGAAAACCCTCGAAAATATCGGTCCCAGCATGGTCTTCAGAGACCTATTCCCCCTCTTGCTCCACATCTCAGCCGCCTGTTCTTCCTCAAGTTGTTTGTCCCATTAGAGCAACAGTCCCCCATAAGCCATGACCCAGGCTTTGTATTTTTCGACTCATTTCCTTCTTGCGGGTATTAATAGCGTCGTAAACATGTAGTGAGTGATGGCTGGAGATTAATGGGGCAAGCTCCTGTATGCAACTGGAGCAACTTCTTTGTTGGTAGTTGAGGCGAGATGATGCGTGGTTAGAGAGAGGTTGAGGACTCAGGTGAGTATGGTAAGAGAGGCATTGTCGAGAAGTCGTCAAATGGAGATATGCTTGAGATTGCTTTCGACTTCGATTCTGATGCGATTCTTCTTGGCTATCCCAGATATGCAGAGTATATTGAGCGATCACACCGGCACCACTGGAAGGTGAAGAATTCGTCTTTGCCGGCTATTGTTTCAATTACAATAGTGATACATCTATGATAAAATTATACGAGGCTGACTATTCAGCCTTGTACCCTTCAATTGTGCGAAGACCTCATCACAATTATATTTCCATACGAAATACTAAAACTACTAAGTCGTCGAAGGGTAACCTGTGTGATGACAAACAACATCTTTGATGGGTCTTTGAGGTGATGTGGCTTGTCGTAAAGTCGAGTTGGAGGACTCATAGTAGAATATTAAGACCGAAATTTATTAGTGGAATTTGAATGTACATATGCATCCTACGTTAATGATTACACCGTCACCGCTGGAATGTGAAGAATTCATCTTTTTCGGTAAGATCATTATGGATGTGTTTGTTACTTTATTTTAACTGATAAATATTTTCCTGAAAAATTGAGATCGTGAAGGTTATTAATTGTTTTTAACACGAGCCCCAGACAGGTTTTGATACAGATACTGATCATACAGGGGTTGGAAACGATGGATTTTATGTTTTTTTCGGTTTAATTCGTTGTAAATGTAGTTCTCGAGCAAAACCTGCCACCGTCTTTGCTCCCATTTACCATCTCGACGAAATTTCTGAGATCAGCTTGTGTTGTGTCTGAATCTCGGTTTTGAATATTAATTTGAGCCCACGGCTGTTAGATATCAATACTGACAGCTGTTCAGACTTCATCCTCTTGTGAGTGTCGAAGTATCAGTCGCGGTGGTATTAAAAGTTCACAGAAAACAACAATAGCTAGCTTTCCAATCACGTGACTAGACAATCGGAATGATTACGTCTCATCCAATCATGCTTTCGGTCTATGAATCACAGTAATTACTTCCAAAGTCAACGATTTGGGCTTTCTCCTCCACAGCGACAACACAGTATCTTGCTACAGCGTGTGTCAACTTGGAAGCCTTTTTTTTATGATTACTGTAGACTTTATGTTAATCATGCGTTAGATGGATGATACCAGGCCTCCAACCATAAAGGACAGCAGAGTCCAGGTGGCTCACTGCTGTATCTGCCTTGATCTAGCCATCAATGGCCCCCTCCGCGACAGGAACGCAGTTAACTTCAGCAAAAAATAAACGTCCGGTACCATCACTAATCCAAACAAATGGATGCCACTCGACAACGTTGTCCTCTCCTCTGATATCCAGTGGCCGAATTTTGTCACCTGCTAAGCTTACATTGAATCTAGCGACAAGTAACGGCATTGGAATTAGCAGTCCAACTGTGCGCTCTATTATTCGCAAGCGAGAGGCGATTCCGCAAGTGAATGGTAGTGACCAGATGAACTGCAGTGCTGGCTTATTGCGCTCTGGGATTCAGTCAGATGAGACTACGATACTAACTACAACTGAACCACCGTCATACTGTATGCAAAGATTAATGAAGCCGGTAAACATCTTATGCTAACTTCGCCAGTCAAATCTGACGAGTATATACTTAAAAAATATCGCCATAGTATACCTTCCCTTGTGGTACATCTTCATCCCACTCACTTTCGGTTCGATAATCAAGAGGGCCACTTTCCTTATCAATCACCCATGAGACTCATGATCGAACATCTAAGACTTCGAACTATACCGCATGATCTAGTAGAATACTTTGGAGATGTACCATATTATGAAGACTGTATGATTGTCAAGATTCACGACCATAAATCCACCTCTTTATCCGATCCTGTAGACCGAAAAGAGTCGCCCGAACCAAAACCAGTACCTTTCTCGATCCACAACTACAGCCAATATTGTACACCATCGTCTTACGTACCATATCCCATAAAAAGCCCTATTTCCAAAAAACCTAAGGTTATAATCGATAAAAATAATACGAAAGCCAGCGAAGAACAGGATAATGATCAAAACCCCACTTCCCTGTCTTCTAAAGCCGCTGGGCCAAAGAAACCAGAAATTCTAACCGTTGTGCTGCGCCCAACTCCTATGAGCAAATTTATCGATCGAGCTCTACAAGCTATCAATCTTATTGGCACAGAGAGAGTAATGAATGTACAAAGTGACACAAACGGAGTGACTCCGAATCTAGCTCTTACTCCAACCGTGGCCCCTAATCTATCAGCGAATCTACAGCCAATCACAGTCTCATCTCCAAATCGTGGAAAATCAAGGTTAAAAATTGATAGCAACCAAATATGTAAGATTGAGGCACAAATTACATTAGCAACTACTGCCCCTCTCGTACTCAAGCCAGTTAGTAGCGCGTTGGAGTCAGCCGCTCTAATAGAATCGCTCGCCCATCCAATGTACAACGAGAAGCCCCCCGCTCCTAAGTCAAGGAAGAGAACAGTTGCAGAGGTGGCTGCCGACGAGGCTTTTGCTGCTGAGCAAGAAAGATATATGCTTTTATTTGACGAGAGACTTTCCTCCAATGCACTTACAACCTCTGGTGGTGTCAATACATCTGGCGGAGAGACACAATCCGGTGGAACCCTTTTTGAAGCTCGTTTTGAAAGGTTTAAATTAATTGAATCAATCCGTATTCAACTCGAAGAAAACAAACGAATTGAAAAACAGAAAGCTATTGAAAATGAGAAGCGTCAAAAACAAGAAATGGAAAGAATTAAACTCAAGGATGAAGCCGAGAAACGAGCTGAAAAAGAGAGAAGAAATGCTGCACAACTTCAGCAGGCACAACTTCAACAAGCTCAAGCTCAGGCTCAGGCTCAGGCTCAAGCTCAAGCTCAAGCTCAAGCTCAGGCTCAAGCTCAAGCTCAGGCTCAGGCTCAGGCTCAGGCTCAAGCTCAAGCTCAAGCTCAAGCTCAGGCTCAGGCTCAGGCTCAGGCTCAGGCTCAGGCTCAGGCTCAGGCTCAAGCTCAAGCTCAAGCTCAGGCTCAGGCTCAAGCTCAAGCTCAAGCTCAGGCTCAGGCTCAGGCTCAGGCTCAGGCTCAGGCTCAAGCTCAAGCCCAGCGGCTTGCAGAAACGAATCGAACACGTCAAATTCTAGCTATAGAGCAAACCCGCTCACAACAAGCGTTGCAAGGAAACTCGAATCAGATTCAGCCACAGCATGCTCATCCTCAAACTACATCATCACAAAATGCAATTCTAGGCCAGGCTCATCGTCTACATCAGCAAACATCTCAAGCTCAGGCCACTTCACCTTTAATAAGGACAGAGACACCAAATTCAAACTCTTCACCAAGTATCAACAATGCAGGTTCTATTCCTATGCAACAGTCAACATCAAGTATGGGAGGCAGTCCCACTCGTCCGGGCTCTGCCACTCAACAAAATCAAGCGCAAAAAACTGTCCCAACATCGCACGGTATGGTCTCTCAAAAGAGTCAGCAAAGTCATTCTGGCACACCTCGAATGCCCGTTTCCACACCTGTGCAATCTACTCCTGCAAGTCGAAACTCTTCGCAGACACCAAGATTAGGTCAAAGAAGTCCTCAAGGTCAAATTTCACATAACCCACAAGTCCAAATGATAAATGGCCAACCAATACTGAATAATTCAGCACAAGCCCAAGCATTTCAGCAACAGAGATTGCAGCATATTTTGCGCCAGCAACAACAACAACAACAGGCTGCACAAGGTCTTGGTGTAATTATGCAAGGCCATCAAGCAAGTCCTCAGCAGATGCTTCAAGCCCAGCAAATTCTTAGAAATCAACAACAGCAAGGTATGCCTCAGCAAGCTATACAAGCTTATACTGCCCAAATGACAGCATTAGCACAAAGACAGGCATCACAGGGTGGAATTCCCCAGAGTATGAATCCAAACTTTATTGGGAACGTAAGTGGAGTAGGAGGCGTACAACAAGTACCGATGAACATGCAGCAAATTCAGCAGTTACAGCAACAGCAAATGATGTTGCAAGCACAAGCTCAACAGATAGCCGCTCAACAACAAAATAGCCATCCAATCCAGCAGCAAGGAGGAATTAGCCAGGCAGCTCATAATCAGATTATGGGTCTGGCACACCGTATATATCAAGCAGAAAAAGCTTCTTTCGCTTCCCAAAACCCGAACGTAATAATTACTGATGAGTTAGATCGGCAAATGAGAGCACGTGCACAAAACGCGGCGCAGCAGCAATATATTCAAGCTAGAAGAAGACAACAAATGGCTGCAGCACAAGCTGCTCAGCAGGGTGGCAATCAACAAAATTTGAACGCCTTGCAACACCAAATGGGAATGTAAAATTAACGATCTATGAGGAGTTTTGGCTGGGTTGGTTTGAATGAGGTTAGCACTGTGTGGCGTAATAATACCACGTGGCAAGGCCTTTTTTTCGGGATAAGGAGTCTGATATTTTAAACCCTTTTCATGCGATATTTTTCGAATAGGATTTTGGCGTTGTCAGTAGATACTGCTGATGATTTATCTAAACACAGGTGAGGTTTCTAGGGCGTAGTTTTGGTGATAGTGAATACTGTATTACTATGCGATCACACTCTAGAGCAATCTTTACGTATCATATTGATTCAAGAGAAGATCATAATCTCAAGGAAATATGATAGAATATGAAACGAGCTATAATTTTATTAGTTGTGCCTAGTCATCTTAAAAATCTCATCAATGAACAATGTTAGTCGTCAGATAAAGTCATTCTGGCTATAAGGGAAAGCGATTTAGATAAATGTCAAGATTTAGAGTGAGACTTTTAATTAGTCTTGACGTTCTATAAGCCATACACAAAAGTCCGCACTTTATATACATCACCGGTAGAAACCCTGCGCAGCCCACAGATCTTCCCCTGAATCCCTATTTTCATATCAACGCATAGGCTTCCTTGCGGTAGGTGCTCAAACTGCCGGGCTATTTATGTAGCTACCTCTAACCCTAAATTTACTTACCTACTTAGCTCAACTATTAGGGCAGCTAGCTGTTTATTAGTGAGCCTCTAATATTGGGCCCGACCTCTTTTGTAAGTCATTAAGCAGACATAAAGGTGTTTTCCGCGCTACTCACCATTACCGCACAACTGAATCATAATCCTCTAACTTTTGCAACTTTGCTGACTCGCTGGGTGTAAGAGTATTATAGTTTAAATGCTGATGACGCATTTTGGTACAAGTAATTTTGAAACCCTACCACGCCATCTCGTTGCTGATATGGGCTTCATTGAAGCATTCTCAGGCCCATTGAGAAAATAGGTTGGAGCTCAACAACTAATCCTGCCTTGGCTCAGGTATTCATCTCGATAGATGTCATCACCATCTCCCAGAACTGGAGGGGGCTTTTGGCGAGTTTTGGCGAGGATAGTGAGAGAATGATGACACATAGGCACAAGATTTGCGTGGAATTCTGACATTAGAGTCAAGTTTGCCGCTGCTATGCTCGATTTTCTCTACTTTATGAATCGACGCCTTACGAAACCAAGGATTTGTCGTGTTTGACGAGGATGGAGCCTATCAACGATTATCTGCGGTAGCAACTCGTGCCAGTCGGGGGGGCAAAACTCGACACCTATCAGCTGTGTTGTCGACGAACCTTCAGCTCTTACTATAGAATCTGCAGAGCCGAGATTGAGTAACATAGTCCTCACTTCCATGTGGATTCCCAGTCGCTTTCGCCGTCTGTATCGTCTACATCTCTCAACACATCTCCCCAGTACCACTATCATGAAGCCTACAAAGATCAGATCAGATGATAGGGCCAAAGCCTTACACATTACCCGCCATTGGTCATGGAGATAAAGCCATCCGATGAGTTTCCGAAGCGTACCCAGCACCCGATACGGAGATGGCAAATTGGGTCAAGTTGGCCTCTGATGTTACAAAGAAGGGAGATTTGGATGAATATACGCACCTCATGTGGTCCCAGTGTCTAAACCACGCCTGGCTCGCGCTGCAGGTTTTATTGAGATTTTTCCGGCGCACGTAGTTTGCGTTGATGCCATTTTTCATCTTTTATTTGGGTAGAAAGGTCCGTGGAAAGAGTGGCTGAATTCCACGCGTAGGTACCGAATTAAATGGCTATCCATTCTGGGAAATAAATCGGAGATTTCCAAGTATCAAGAAGAGCCTCACCGTTAGACACCGTCTTGAAACAATATTTTAGCCGCATTCAGCCTCGCTCATCACATTACCGAGCCCCGAGGTTTGTTTTATTCACCAAATAAGGTCGTCGTCTCTTCCGCGGAGGGAGTTCACGCATTTAATAGCTGGGTGCGTGTCACAAATTTCTTTGGAAAAGCACAACAAGTCTGACCGAAAGGGAATCATGTGATTCAACTAAGTTCCCCCCTTCCATATTGTTTATTTCATCTATTCTTCATTCAATACCATCTGAATACATGAGAGTTGAAGGGAGACCGGTAACCATGTATAATTTAATCTTCAAGTGCAGGATGATGAGATCCTGGCTTTCATTCGCTTTGTTGGGTTTATTCATGCGCCAACACGTCGGGTAGTTTTATTTAGACTGAGCTAACTGGCATGTAAATTTCGCAATATCAAACAAGTTGGCCCACGAGGCAAAATTTCAAATTACTCCACCATGTCAACCTTAACTCCCAAGGAGTCCGATTCTCAAATAAGTTTCATCAAGTCTACAAGTACGACCTAGTACATCCTCGTTTCAATGACCACACCTCTCGTCGGCTTTCTCTGGCCTCAGCCGGTCACCAAATACACGCCCACGCCGATATTTATACCCGACGGAGGAAGCAAAGCGTGGAGCACAAATCTGGGAGATAGCTCTTTGGGATGGACGTGAGAGGGATCAGGACAAGTTCACAAGATGATGCAGAAGAGGGATACGTTTTTGACGGGCGTGAAATTTCGAAATTTGGCAAGAGTTTTACGAATTGAGCTTTGTGCGCGCCAAGACTTCGCTTGCGAGGGTGCAGCTGACAATATAAACACAAATCGACGATGAGAGGTATTGTGGTCCGCCTCCTGGTGGTGTTCTCTGGTATAGTTTGAGTAGCCTGGGCACCTACTCCACCTGGGAAGGAGACATCTCAGATCACACTTCGCGCGGAGAAAAGTTGATGGATGACGGAAGCATGTCTAGATAACTCAGGGTTTTTGAGACGTTCCCCTGGGTGGGTATTCACGGATGAGGGTTGACTTTGGGTGAAGAAAAAGCCACCATAACTTCGCAGTGGTACTTGCAAATGAAATCCGAGGCATGAGTGCTCTTCTTGTAAATTGAGTCATCTATCATACACTTCTCTGATATTGTGTCATAGCTAGATAGCTGCATATGCAATTAAAATCTGATGCAAAAAAAAAAAAGAAAACCGGCACGTGAGGAGCTCACGTGCTGTGCGCGGGCACGACGTTAAATATTAAAAATAAGGTCCATCTCACGACACACAATCTTCCAGCTGAACTGAGCCATTTTTGCATATCTTCTAAATCAATTTCCAGACCATTGATCGTTACAGGACGATAAGATGCCCCACAGGAGGCGTAAAACCCCTGCGATACTCGTATTCCCCGCTCGAACTGCCTCTCGCGCTGCGAAACGTGCGAGGCCTCGCCGACCTCTTACAACCATCCAGGAGGAATTCATCTTAGCAGCCGAAGCTGAGAAACAATTACCTCCACCCGAACCCATAGACATGGACTCAGAAGATGAGTCTATGGACCTAGGGCTTGAAAACGAACCTCTTCCCCACCCTGTCCCCGAAAACTTATCACCTAATCTCACTTCAGTCCCCGCGCTGACAACAGCCGTACAAAGGCACTCCCCCCAAAAGATTCTGAAAAGAAATTCTGGTCAGGGTATCCCTAGCTCGATTCACACGTCGACTAAAGACATCGCAAACGAGCAAGAACTCCGCCCAAGTCTTCCCCAACCCGGCCCGCGTACAACTTCGAGGATTATCGAACGCCCCTCGGCAGCTATGATAAATGACATAGCTGCTTCATTGTTGGCCTGGCAAAATGCTGGAGCCCAACACCTACGGGCCCTTCCGCCTACAATTGCAGCGGACCTTAAGGCTATTGTGACGCGAAGCATAGCTCGAGTTATTGCAGGTCTTCCTGTCTTTGAACCTCCCCAAACTACTCATAACTTAAAAGTTAGCGCGCAGCCAAGCCCAACAAATAAACCGCTCAAAGTTTCTTCGTACGCAAATGCTGCCAAGAAAAACCTGGCCGTACAGAAACAACCTCCAAAGACTGTACTCAGGGCCACCCCCTCGACTATAAAGCAAAGGCCAGACCCAAGAGTTATGATACGCATAGCGCCTGACCATCCTTTGCGATATCAATACTCTCTTCTGGTCCGTACAAAGCTGAGAAGCCTGCTCAAAAAACTAGAATTGATCAAAGACATCAGGCCGGTTACTTCTGGAATAGCCCTCGTGGCCCCCTCATCTGATCAAATTCCTTATCTCATGCAAGCAGCCATTGCTTTACAACCCGCCACAGGAGTTGTACTAATCGAAAGACAAGAAAAACGAGAGAATTTCCTCCTCAGCCCAGTACCCAAATACGGGTACAACGCTTCTGGATCTCCTGAAGCTCTCTCTGATGCTGACATCTGGGAAGAACTTGCAGCGGCGAAAATCGACACAATATCGATTTCCTCTATTAGTTGGAGACGTAATTCACTTGCATCCCCTGACTGGGAAGGGACTCTCAGACTAGTAGTTGCAAAGCTAGCTGCAGATAAGCTCCCTTCCAGCCTCCGCTTATTTGCTCGGTCCGCTAAAATTCTTCCGGCCGACAATCGCCCACGCCTACATGTCTGCCCACACTGCCACGGATTTCACAATATTAACGCCTGCACCCTTACAGCTCGTTGCGGAAATTGCGCGTCAGACTTCCATGATGGACCGTGCGCGACTCCCACCAAGTGTCTGAATTGTGCAGGTCCTCATGCTGCCTCAGCTCCCGGATACCCAGCTCGGTCTTTTCGAGCTAAAGGAGTATTCGTTCGCCCTGACAAGGAGAGAATACGGATTATGCGCCAGGAGGGACATAAGTCCTTGCTCGATCTTAATCCCCCCCGCCCCCTTCTAACCCCCTCACTGGGTCTCCATCGGCACAACCTTCGTGCACCAAGATTCCAGCTCCTGTTCTCACAGTAGGCTCGGCATCTAGGTTTGCTCCCCTGATTTCCCTTGAGGAGGAACAATGAGGGACCGAAACCGGGGTCGAAGAAGGCAGAAGACTACAAGTCTCTGCTTCTTCCAGATCAATGTAGGTAGACGTGGCCCTGCTCACGATGCCGCCCTAGAA